TTGGACCAGATGACCCTCAGAGTCCCTTCCAACTCTACAATTCTATGAATTTGTTGAACACCCCACCTGTGCAATCCATGTCCATGGAAGACATTGTTAAGGCATTTTTGCTGAGTCAGCTGTGTCCAACAGTTTTGGAACTCCTCCCTAATTTGCTGTTTATGGCATTGCCGGAGGTAACAAGCAAACCCAGATTTGTGTTTGGCCTGCCTGGCCTGGCCAGGATGCAGAGACAGCCAGGCCAGTGCTAGATATTGCTGCTCTGTGCTGCTGTTTTGTTAACATATGCTTTGTGGTTTTATTTTAGGACTTCATTGTAAATTGTACCTGTTTTAATTGGTATGCTGTTTTAATTGTAACCAGCCCTGGGTTTAAATAAGCAAACAAAAAACCAAAACAAATCAAGAACCCCACCCCAACAAACCAAAGGAAACAGAGTGCTTTTCTGCTCAAACATGACACACTGTTGTCAAAGACTTGGCACCAGATTTTAGAATTGTATGGTTTGGGGAATAGAGTAGTAAGTTGCCTAAATGGGGGAATGCAAATCCCCCCCACATATGCCCCTGAGTAACTAATTTGAAAGGGTACTGTAGATCAAAGAAGCCATGCTTCATGACAGCAGTCCTCATTTAGGAAGTTACTTAAGCATGCATTTAATTTAAACATGGGAATTAGGCCCCATTTACTCAATGGAGCTAAAGCACATGATTAAAGTTAAACAGAAGATTAAGTGCTGTGCTCAATGACACCATGGCTGCCAAGAGCAAGTGTTTAAAAGCCATCAAGAAGGCCCCTAAAACCAGGAGCTTGAAGGATTAAACTGTATCCTCCTTGCTTCTGCTGTCAAGAAAATGTCTCCTAGGAGGTGCCCAGCTAAATACAGTTGTGTTTTATAGGGGAAGACCCAAAAAGAAGAGGCTTGCATTTTGCCAGATGAGGCAAACTTGCAGCCAGCATCGGACTTTAAGGCTAATCCCTTTCTCACTTAGAAAAATAAATTCCAGTGTTAGCCTTTTCACACTCATCGTGTTTTATTAAGCACTGCTGTGATCAGTTTAGGGAAACTGGCCAAGAGCTGAGCTAACAATTCAAGTGTGGTCTGTTCCAAGGCGAAGTTCTGTATATTGGACATGAAGAAGGCAGCAGGGGAAGTTTTGAAATGTAGCTGTTTTTAATAAATTGTGTTATATATTTTGTATGTTTTATTTGTCAGCTGCCTTGAGAGGGCTTTCCCCCCTTCCGTGAAAGGTGTCGTAAAAACTTTAAAAAATAAATAAATACATAAATGAATCTTGTCCTGGGAAGATTCAGGTGACCTGGGATGAAAGGTTAAAAGTTTTCGTGGGAAGTAGGTTATCTACAGCGTCCAGCCAGAGTCAAATTACACCATGGCATGGGGGTTGGGAGTGGTAAATAATATTGGAAAATGGAATATCATCTCCCCTCCATGAGACTGCAGGCAACCCCCTCTTGAGCTAATAGGTACCACATGCAGAAGTGAATCTCACATTGCTGGCATATTGCTAAGGCTGGGACTGCATCTGTCCCACGCCCTTTTAATTTTTAATGACAGCCTTTCCATTGTACACCTTGAGCAACACTGAGTTATTTTCTGTTACCTGCAGCGGGCTTGCTGTAAGTCGTAAGGGAAACGTGTTGGTTTTCCCTTTTCTCTCTGATCAACTCAAGGGCCAAGGCCTCCCTCCTGCTAAAGGGAGTTGGCACCGTTGTGTTTACAGCGCTCTGGCATCTTGTATGCACTGCTCCCTGGGCTTTTTAAAGCTTGCTAATGCAGCATATTCTGCATTAGATGATTACTGCTGAAAAGTGACTGGAATTTCCCCACCAGCACTTCAGTTTTTAATTGATGAACCCAACCTCGGGTTGTGAAAAGTAAGGAGTGGGATTTTTAATCCCTGGAGGGATGGGCTTTCGCACAGGAAAGCCCTAGGCAACTTTCCTCTGCAAAGCTCTGCCTATGCCCTTGATCCTATGCTGTTGAACTCTTGACATCAGATCTGCTGAATCCCTTTTGCTGTTCCAGAATTTTGACCCCTGCTCCCCCAGCATACACACCAACTTACCATCTTCTAGGCCAGGGGCAGCTCACAGAGTATCCTATGGATATTACTGGACTCCAGGTTCCTTTGGTCCCAGCCAGCATGGCCAATGGTCAGAGATAATGAGAGATACAGTCCAACAACATTTGGAAGTCACCACATTGTATCTTCCTGTCCTAAATCTAGCCCAGCTCTGTAAAAAAAAATGGCAATCTATCGTCCCCCTTTTCCCTTCTTTGCAATCCTGATTCGGTCCTCTATTAAGATAGGTGCAAAGTCATTCCCACTTCTGTTTATTTGACCATTGTTGGCTTACTGATAGGGGCTCATTCATACATGTCTGGAAGTTAAGCAAGGGGCTGGACATGTTTTCAGAACTCAGAAATTTCAGACCAATTTAATGGGAGGAAGGTGAGTGTAGCTAGTAGTTCTTGTTCATAGGTGTGTCTAGAGGGCTATGATGCAGTTGTGTATGGCTTCTGGTCCCTGGCATTGTAACTCATGTTGAGGAACCAGTGATCCACATTGCTGACAGGGATTAGAGAACAATGGACTTTCTGATGGATGGGCATTCTGGATGGATGTGACCTACCAAATACAGCCAGATCACCAGGCTGAAGGCCCCACCTACAGGAGAGGAAATTTTGGATACTTTTCATCTAGAAGAAACAGCCCTTGGGCCCCAAGTTCACCATATCTCATGGCAACTCCAAGAAAGAAGAAAATGGTGCTACTCTAGAATAGGTGCTCAAGGAAGGCTCTGCATGATATACATACCCCATGTTATATTGGAGAGAGTTCCTTGCCACTGTAGGCCCACTTAGTGAGAAGGCTGGGTGTCCATAGATGATTGCCTTAAGTTGTTCGCTGCAAGCAGCAAAAAGAGTACGTCCAGACTCGCTTCCTACTGTGGGTGTGGGAATATCCCAAGGCAGGAAAGAGGAACCTCTCCAGACATTGTTGGCCTCCAACTCTGCTTATCCATCTGCACTGGCCATGCTGGCTGGAGCTGATGGGAGTTGGAGTCCAACAACCTATGGAGGTTCACAGATTCTCCATCCCTGTCTGAAGGGATTGATACCTTCTTATTGTGCCATGGAGAGCAAGGTAAGCTGCTGCTTAGAAGTGCCTTATGATGAACCCTGTGCCCAGGGTCAGTCCCATTGTGCTGTTGGTATTTGGGACTAAGGACTAATCTCCTCTCCCTCACCAGGGCCACTCATTCTGCTCCTGGTCTTAGTTGGACTATTGCCGGCCGAGAGAGCCCTGTTAGCTATCCTGCCAATTATCATCTCGGCCAGAGGGAGTTGCACTCTATACTTTTATTATTATGCAACTGTTCACCAAATTGTTGGTTATGCAGAGATCTAGTGGATGCATTGACTGTGTGCCAGCTGGAAAAGTGGGATACGAATAAAGTGACTATTACATCACATCTGATGGCTGCATGATCCTTTTCGTCGGGGATGGGGATCCTGTGCACTTCCAGCTCTTGCTGGATTACACATCCCATCATCCATGACTGTTGGTCATGATGATTGGGGCCGACGGGAGTTGCAGTCCAGCAGCATCCAGAGTCACTTGCAGGAGTGGAGCCAATCTAGTGCTCCTGCTGGTGTGTTTGCACTGCACCAACCTTGCCCTTCTTCCTCCCGATAAGCTGCAGCAGCACCAATGATGGGAAGTCAGGTAGATGCTGCTGCCCCATCAATCACTACTGACAACGGTTCTTCTGTAGAACAGTTTCTTCCTAGGTGTTGCACCCCCTAACCCACTGCTGCATTTTTTATTTTGCTCAACTAGGAAGAGATTTGGGGAAAGCACACTGCCCACTGGTATGTTTCATTTGCAATTTTAATTGGCTTATCAGAGACAAAGAGGTGATGACAGAGTTAGAAAATGAAACATTTATCCTCTCCCCTTTTCCTCACCCCCTCACCCACTCCACTTGCTTTTGTCTCCTGGGATATTTTGAGCTATGCAGCGTGGAGATCAGCCACTTCAAAACGAAGAGATTCTTATTCTTTGAAACCTCTCTTACATCAAAGATTATCCCCCCATAGCCTCCCCTCCCCACTGCCCACCCCTTAGCTGAAGCAATGCTGACCTAGCATAAAGCCTTCTAGCTATGGTAGATTGGTATACAAAGGATTTTTTTTCTTTTCTTTTCTTTTTCTTACAAAAAACAGAAAAGCAGGAATTTCTTCACCCTCCCTCTTCCTCTTTTTTTTAAACATTATTCACAAAAGTTTACAAAATAGCCTTGAAATTAAGCTCCAATCCACTTTTGAGATCCAATCCATTTTTGCTAACTGATGTTGCTAATAGATTGAAGGATGCATTCATTGTTCTGAGGACCATTATTGTTCCTTATGGTCTCATAGCCCCATAAGTTTGCCTTTCCTCCACATTCACCTTCCCTAAGGTGGTCCCCAGGAGGCAACCCATGCAGCCTACAAGAAGAGGCTTGGTGGATTTGGTTCAAGATTAGATTCTCGATGGGCAATACACATGTACACATAAAGGAAAAGCCTCTTTTTTGTATCTCCAAGGGAGCAGCAATTTGCTGAACAAAATGTACACTGGTAGCAGGCTGCCAGGGGATCCACAGGCAGCCTATAAAGGGATGGTGAGATGCCAAGCTTGGTGCTTCCAAGCTCATGCTGTCTGCTCTCTGGGCACTGACTTCCTTTGCTGAAACTTTCCCTCCATAAACAATGGATTGTTCATCTTGGTATAAAGGAACATTGGTTTGGCCAAACTGGTGATTTTTGTTGGGTAAGGGGACATCCAAAGGGGACATTTTGTTGTCTTCATCCTCCATGCTTATTGTTTTCATGGTTGAGCTTTCCTCCCCATTTATATTTGGTAATTTTTTTTTAATCCACCAGAACTTCTTGCCCACCCTCTCTGGGGGGAAAAAGCTCCCAGAATCCTTCAGGAGTCTAGTGGTGTCGCTTGAACCTCCATGGCTAGGAGTGTCTCACTTTTCCTCGCTTGATCCCAGTGTTTGATATAAGTCGGATACACAACACGCACTGAAGAGGAACCTGACTTCCATGGCATGCAGGCCCTGTGGCTCCCAGGCTGTGGCTTGAGAGCACCCAAACCATAGTTGCCTATAAGGCTAATAAGCAGCAACAAAACGCAAAGAGACAGCACCAGTAGGGCGCTCTGCCTGCTTTCCAGGTACTGGTATTGTGCCTCTTTAGTCCTAGCATTGACGCAGGACACCTTGCTCTGCAAGGCTACGAAGGCGACATGAAGGCAGGCCCAGTATTCTGTGCTGTGGTGTAGCCGTGTGATGTTGTACATATGGGTGCCTGTTGGGAGGCGGGCCACACTCATCATGTCCAGGCTGGGGTTGAAGCTGGACCATGTGAGGTTGGAAGAAATGGTATTGAGATGAGGTTTCCAAGCAACCAAGATGTGGTAGGCCTGGACGTCCTTCACCAGCAGCTCCAGAGTATCCTCGCTGAAGGGGAAAGAACTGTTGACCATCAAGCTGATGCTTCTTGTATCGGCACCAATGAGATTTTGAGCCATGCATGTGTACAGCCCAGCTTCTTGCGCTGTAACCTTGTGGATCTCTATTGTCCCTTCGGGGTGCACTTTATACTTTCCATCTTCGGAGTAGGGCATTAGCTTGAGACCTGATGGTGTGACCCAGTAGATCTCTGGCTCTGGTTCTGCAAGAGCCCTGCAGTGAAGAGAGACATCCTCACCATCTGCCACCTCCAAATGGGAAGGAAAGCTTTTGTTGGAGATGAGGGGCAAGCACCTGTCAGTCATTTCCCTGAAAGGGACGTCGCGGATGTGCTTCCTCTTTAGGTCTGGTGGCTCAGCACATAATGTGGATTGAGGCTCGATGAAGCGGATGCGGTTCTCTGTACTGTTGACCCAGCGGATGACGCAGTCACAGCGGATGGGGTTGCTATGGATACTGATCTCCTGCAGATTGGGGAGGGACTCCAGTGTCTGCTTATGCAAGGCACTTAGGGCATTGTTGTTGAGCATGAGGGTCTCCATCTGGGGGAGGTGGTGGAAAGCACTCGGGTGAATGTAGGATAGTTTAGGGTTATTGGTCACATCCAGCTTGGTCAGTTCAGGCAGGTTGATCAAGGCAAACTTGTCAATGGAAACCAGCTCCTCCATGTTGTTGAGTCCCAGTTCCTTGAGGTGCAGCATATTTGTGAAGTCACTCTGCTTAATCCTCTGAAGCGGGTTTTTGTTCAGATCCAGGAACTTGAGACCAGGGACTTGCTGCAGCGCCCGTTTGGGGACATTGACCAGCTTGTTGTCATAGAAAGAAAGGCTCTCCAGACTTTTCAGGCCTACTAGCGCATAATCTGAAATCTCCTTCAGGTTCATTCCAGCCAGAACCAAACTCCTCAGATTGGATAGGGCCCTGAAGTTCATATCCAAAATGGCATCCACTTTGTTGCCTCCAATCATGAGGATCTCCAAACTGGGCAACACTTGGAACCAGCGGCTGTCAACTGCCCTCAGGAAGTTGGAGTTGAGGTGGAGCCGAAGGAGACTTCCAAGGCCTGAGAAGGCTTGGGGTGAAATCCTACGTATTTGATTGTGGTTAAGATAAAGCTCCTGGAGGTTTGACAGGCCCGGGAAGCTGTTGTCAGGCAGTTCAGCCAGCTGGTTCTCTTCCAGGTGAAGGCTCAGCAACTGGGGCACATTCTTCAGGCCGAAGTCCAAAACGTCTGAAAAGCTGTTCTGTGACAAATCTAGCTCTGTCAGGTTTTTCAGATAGTCCAGCTCGCTCTGCTCGACCTTGGCAATATTGTTACTTTGCAAGAGAAGAATCTGCGTCCCCTCTGGCAAGCTTTCAGGCACTGTGGAGATAAACAAATCATTACAGTCAACTGTGGCTGCTTCCCTGTACACAGACCTGGGCGTGTACCATGGCCTGATCTGGCAGACACATTGCAGTGGGCATTTGACCTTCCAGGGCACAACAGGGATTGCAGTGGTGGTTGCCATACAGATGAGAAGCAAGTTCAGTTGGAAGTGTCTCATTTTCAACTGGCAAGTCCAACTTCCATGCAAGGTGTAAGCTTTTACAGGACACATTTGGAACTCAACATAAGCAAAAACAAAACCCAGAAACGGGGAAGAGCAGACAGCAAAAATCCACTGCCCTGCCACCCCCGGAAGCTTCCACAGAAGTTGTTGTTCCTGAGGGAGGGTGCTGTGCTAGGGGTAGGAGGCTTCCTCAGCTAAAGAGGTCATCCTAATGGGCCTTGTGGTCCTTCTTTTTCTAATCAGAGCTTCTCCTTTTCCTCCTCCATAAGTGGTTCATTTTTTCTCTGGCTTGCATCGTTCAGACTTCTTCTTAAGGCTGCACCTGAAAGAGATAAACGAAAAAACTTTGTGTAAGAAACGAAATTCACAAGCTAGCAACACACAGGAGGCAAAGCTTAGGATGCCATTGTGGAGATTTCTTACAGAGCTGCTGTAAATGTGGCAGAGGCAGTGTTTCAGAACTCATGGCTGAAGTATGCATGTGCCCATCATGGGTTGACATTCTGTGAAAATTGTTCAAATCTGTTTGACCAAAAAGGCCTCATGGCTTGCTAAACAGCTTTCAATATTGTGTTTTAATGTTTGCCTGGTTCCCCTTCCCACCCATGATCCACTGCCTACAGCCAAGTCTTATGATACTACTGCATTTGTGCCTGTCCTTCTAGGGAACAATGCCTGCAGGATTTATACTGGGCATTCTTAAAATCCAGTACTCAGCCAGGGAATTGTGTGTGTGTGTGCTGGAGGGGTGGGGGTGAGCAGCAGCAGATTGACAGGGTCCGGAGAGTAGTTCACCCAGGAGTCATTGACTGTGGAAGACAGGCCCATCACAGAAAGTTAGAGGGCACCACTTGTCACCTGCATTTCTGAGCTGAAACCTCTCCAGTGTATCTGCAGTTCATTTGGGGAGGTGACCTTTCCCCCTCATGGCCATTTGGAGGTGGGCCTGCCCTTCTTTATGAACAGTCCCCCTAGTCTGAAGTGGCTACTCACCACATACCAGTGGGCTACAGCAGAAACATAAAACCCTGCAACAAACTAGTGTGCTAACTCTGTCACCTCGTCTACCCAGGTAGGACTATATAGATACTTTACAATATGAGTCCTAGCAAGAGTTGTCCCCCTGCTCATCTTCCAACGTGGCATACACCATCAGCTGCCAATAGCACCCCTGTAACATTTACAAATGTCAAAATGGTTATCTGCTATGGAAGAGGATAAATGGACACAAATCGGACATAAAAAATGTAACTCTAAAAAAAGAGCAGGAGTCTATTTCAGACCATCAAGGCACTCTATAGCAAACTTTAAGGTTTCAGTACTTGAAAAAATGTTTCAAGAGGAAAAAAAATGTTTTAAGAGGAAGTTGCCAAATGGGAATTCAGTAAGTAAACTGACAGTGTGGAATTTGGTCTCAGCAGATACTGGGAATTTCTAGCTCACTATATAATTGCCCGTTTTATTTTATTTTGTTTTGATGGTTCTTTCTTTATTCTAATGGGTCTCATCCAGGTCAGCAGGCTTTTCCATGCTTATGACTGAATTCTGTATTCATTCATTCATTCATTCATTCCAGCTCAGCAGTTGTGTCTCTGAGCACAGTGGCCTCCAAAGTTGGGGAAACTGTGGTTTATAAATTCAGACACAACTCCAAATCACAGGTAGCACAAACCATGGTTTGCAAGCCTGTTTCAAAGCACAGCTTCTGATCCTAGTTTGTTGGTTAGTCACAAACCGCAGTTTGTCAGTTCAGACAAAACACAAATCCATAGTTAAACTTGCTTAACTATGATTTGCTGTAATGTTTAATTGATTTATAGCAGAAGTCTACAGCCAGGAAATAAAAGTTAGAATGATTTTTGCACAATCCAGAAAAAGTTATGCATGATTAAGAGATCCCTTCATTCAGTACACAGTATTTCCACACAAAAAAGGAAGAAAGAAGTTAAATGCATACACTGCAATTGCTGGGAAGAATTTCTCTTTCTGTCTGTCTGTCTGTCTGTCTGTCTGTCTGTCTCTCTCTCTTTTTTAAGGAATAGTCCATCATAGGTTTGTAGCTCAGAAAGAATATATTCTCTCTCAGTCTTGCGTGCATGTGTGCACTCATGCACACACACTTTTTTTGAGTGCAGTCAAGGGCTATATTGGCAGCTTGTGAGTAATGCATCAGGTTGCTCTGCTGGCAGCTTAATCAGAGAGCGATCTCCTTCCTGGGGGGCGGGGGGACATGCCCTCCTTTGGAAAACCATGTCACCAACTATTATTCTGCTTCCATATTCCCGGGCTCCTATGATTATACTGCAACTCTCACAGACACATTCCGTGAGAAGGTAGGATGGATAAACCTGCTGTAAAAATCACTCTCTTTCCGTTCCCAAACCCACATTAATGGCATTCATAAGAGACACACCGCAGGCTCAAATGTGTTCTTAGTTTCACTTGTGAATTGGCTTGAAGACCCATGCGGGGATTGCTACTGGCCATTTGGATGTTTTAATACATTTATCTGCTGGCATGGCTTTAAATGCACAATCCACAAGTCAGGCTTGATCGATAGCATGCAGCAGGATGAGACAGCTGAATCTTGAGAGTGGGCAAACGGAACTGGCCCTACAATTGGACAGAATGAAGTAGCTGCCTCAGGAGACAGTTGCTGCAGCTGCTCTCTCTCTCTCTCTCTCTCTCTCTCTCTCTCTCTGTGTGTGTGTGTGTGTGTGTAGCAGCACATCTGCAGCCCCCCCCCCCGGGCTGTTCCACTTGAACCCTCCAAGTTATTCCCTTTCTTGGATCTAGAAAACCACTTTCCTCCAAGAGCGCCTGGAGTATTGAAATAAGTCTCAACTGGTACTAGCATATAAGGCATTATACAACTCAGGACCATGTTACTTCAGAGACCACATTACCCCTTAAATGCCTGGTAGGTCAGTGCAGTCTGCAGGAGAGTGTCACTTTCATGTCCCCAAGATATCTGAAGGGTACTCTGTAAACACTTAAAAGCAGGGCTTCTGAAGACAGCCCCGTTTAGGGAAGTTTTTAAGGACTGATGTTTTAGTGTCTTTTTAATCTCTGTTGGAAGCCACCCAGAGTGGCTGGAGAGGCCCAGCTGGATGGATGGGGTAATAATAATAATAATAATAATAATAATAATAATAATAAATTTATTATTATTATTATTATTATTATTATTATTATTTTATTTTATTAATTCATTCTGGTGTGGCTTCCCCTGTTCTGTGGAACAGCATGTATCCTATGAGGATACAACAGGCACCCACCAGCTACATGTTCTCATAAACAATTGAAGACCTTCTTGTTCAAACAAGCTTTCCCATCTGGATTAATATTTCTCTGCCAGACCTACACTGCTACTGTTTTCTGTATTGTTGCTCACTGTTTTTATTGCATTTTGTACATTGCCTTGAGATGTGTGTTGAAGGTGATTAAACAACAATGGCCAACCTAGTCATGGAGTGGGCACCCTCTTGTATTTAGCATCTGGCAGCAAAATCTCTTGGGCCAGCCTTGAGAAGAGAGGTGATTGAATGCTCTTCTCACAAAAACACATAGAAAACATGCGCACCTAGGAAACTGGTATGCCAGAGAAAAGCCTAGCCCGGAGCTCTTCTTGACACCTGCTTTTTGTGTGTCCAGAGTCTCTATTTAAAGACAATGTTTGCCTATATTTCTTGATCAGTTTCCCCCAGATCACTTTCCAGTCTCAAGGAAATGAAGGAACCTTATTCTGTACCTGCCTCCTTTAAAAGAGGAAAATACATTGTTTTGCACGATCTGGATGGATTTATGGAAGAAAACACATCCGCAGAGAGGGGAAAGAAAGATGAAGGTCCATCAAGAAGGATGTGAAAATCAATACAGCCCACCCTTTCTTTAGTGCAGTTCCTCTGGGAGTTGGCATAATAAAAGTCAAAAGACCTTGTGGAAGGCAGCAGCGTAAATGCAAAGGATCAATTTTGGTACATGGGCCACAGCAAGGCAGTGGCATATAATCTTTACTCCGACACCCTTTATAGAGTGAGCATTGGGCCTGTAACTAACTTCTTTGGCCTTGGAAAACCACAGCCTTGTTCATTTAATTTTCCTGGAGTGCATGATGATTGCAAGTTGCATGTTTAAGCTTCATAGATGATTGGGGGTTTTGTTCTGCAAATCACAGGGTCTTTGTCTTTCTGAACCTCAAAGCCAGGAGGTGGTTTGAACAAGAACCGTTAAACTGATCTGGAAATGCTGATCTTTTCTATTTGGAATTGGGAGTATAAAGTGAGGGTTAAAGCAAATCAGCTTTAAGGAAACCTTTCTGAAAAGGCTCAGCATACAGTTTATTTTCAAGGCATTTATTTTTGTTCTCTCTCCCCCCTCTATTCTTTTTATCTTTTTGTTAATTTAGTTAAGTGCCTCTAATGTTATGTGTACATCTGGAGGTTGAAGCTCTGGGAGGGTGGAAATACAATTGGAGGTGGGTATAGGCTTATTTATTTATTTGTATTTTATTTGTTATGCGAAAAGGGCGAGGAGGGGAAGGGTCCATTTATTCTGGACCAAATCTTTTGGAATACAAGTTCTTAAATTAAAATATTGCTATATAAATGCTATTTTTAAAAAACAACAACAGTGAAAACAAATTGGGACTTCTCTTTTAGGTCATCCTATGGACCAGTCAGTGCTTGCCCTCTCCTGTTTCATGGCACCTGGGTCCAGAGGAGGTCCAAGTGGCCATTGCATGGTCAGTTAAAGCCTGCGTCTTTGCTTTCCATCACCTGTGATATAAGATGAGTGTTAGGTGGGGAAGGGAATCACCCTCTTTCAGTGTAGGTGGACTGCATCAATTATTGTAGGAGACCTTTGTGGGAATCCTTCAGTCAGATCCATAATGTCGTTTGTACTGGTGTTGTCTTAAATGTCCTTTCTAGGTCCAAATGTGGAGGTTTGGTGAAGATGAGCTTCTAGCAAACAGTTTGTTACAGAGGAGGGGT